AGAATTAAATTTAGTATGGAAAGGTAGCATATTCTCCAAGCATTTCAACAGGAGCCTGTGCACATCTTTAATTTCAAAATAGCTCATTTATTTCCATAGTCCGGTTCCCTTCAGCAGATAAAATGCATTTTGTCAAACTGTGTACCATAAAACATGCCTGTAATCTGCATGCAACATAGAACCAACAAATTTTTAAAAATGGGAAGTCTGACCCACAGTTATGTCCCTCAGGCTTTTCTATCAGCAGAACTGTTCCACAATCAAAGCTGTGCTGCTTTAGAACTGAAGTATGGTAGTGATGGATGATTCACACCCTAATTGAGTGATATGAGCCAACAAAAATTGCAAGGAGTTGCTCCTTTCCAAACTTGGTTTAGTGTTTCACAGCCTCCTCCTGTTTAATCAGAATGTTTGCATTTATTATTATTTTCACCCATCTCTCAGTGCTCATTAATATTAATCCTTGCTTCCACACTACCCTGAGCTGCAGGAACTGGAGCAGTGGTGCTGCAAAGTAATTGTGTTTGTAACTGTAAATACAATTGATTGCCGTTTCACTATTTGAGCATGAACTTACACATATAGGATCTATTACATTGTGAAGAAATGTTTTAAGTGAATTCCAGTGTTGACTAAATTGATAGTTAAAGGTATGAAATCCAGCATTGATAAATGGAAATGCTTTTTTACACAACACATGATTTAACCATAGGCCTGTCTGCCACAACAAATTGTTCAGGCTGAGATTTAGGATTCAGATTTAGATCTTATACGGGAATCAGAAATACCCTAATGTTACAACTAATATAAAAATAGTGAAAAGGATATTGAACCTCATGTTCTAGGATGTAAATCAGGCTCTAACTACTAGAAAGCAGGATATGAAAGCAGGGTGTTTACATCTGCCCAGTAATGTGCGTTTGCATTTCTCCTGTTGTATTAGGTCCCAATCAGCATCAGGCAACAGCTGCTTTGGTTCTGACACAGAACTGATCATTTCCAAAGGTGCCTTATTATACTCTTCTTAAGGATTCAGAATCTTTAGTCCAGGCTCAGAACAGCAAGGAAGACATATGGCATCATACCATTCTTCCACAAAGACCCCATTTAACTCTCCTCACAGACAGGCTGTATTCAAGTTCAGATTGATGACTTTTTTGGTAAACTTAAGATTTTAAATTGGTTTGCAAAGCATGTTTAATCCCCCTCTTTTATGTAGGTGTGGAGTTGCAGGCCAGCATTTTTGAGGGAAATGGTAGATTGCATGAGAAAGCTTTTGCCCCAGTACAGTGTCATGCCTATTGAGCACAAATGCTTGATAAATATATCCCATGATAGGTATTACAGAAAGAGTGTGTATTTATTGCATGACTTTGGGTCAGGAGAGTACCACTGAAGAGAAGTTCACTAGTATTGCCAGTGTTTCTGTGATTCATATCATGGAGTGGTCTCCAATACACAAACTGTATTTATTCCATTAGTCTAAACCACGTGAGAAAATGCTCTCCAGGACTACATCTAATATAGTCATTCAGTTCCCAGAACCAGACTAGAGCTAATGTGAAGTAAATCCTCTGTTATAGACACAGTGTGCGCATCAAGTGTCTTCAGATCTGCTACTGCTGGGCTGCACTGTTCAATAGAGACCTGCCCTTCCCAGGCTTAGTGTTGTGCAAGGTGGTCATGGCCACTCCAGTGTAATCTGCCAGAGGCAGCTTTCTTCTTCCTTCCACATCTATTATCTCTCTTTTTCAAATGGTTTGCCTCCTCCCTACAAAGCCTGGAAGACATTTTACAAATCTCTGGTACAATAACTAGACTGATAAACATACTCGAAATAGATTTGATAACTCAGCTGGCATGGAGTTGTAGATTGCAAGTGATGTTAGGAGGTAGAACTGGGAAGAAAACAGAATTTCTCTTCCTGAAAAGACTCCAAATTTTGAAATAATGAGAAACGTAATCATCTTGGTGGTCTTCTATTTACCACTATCCAAATACTTTATATCATTTACTGGTGGCCTTTGATGGCCACCAGTGTGATGGGGAGGGATTATCCATTTTTTTTGTTTTGCGTAAGCCACAAGCAAGTAATTACAGCTGCTTTTCTTCTGCTACTAAGGAATGCAAGAGTGCCATGAGAAGAGGATCAGGGCCAGACCTAAGTCAGTCCTAGTGGTTCCAGCAGTCTCTACCGATATCCCACTGAGAAGATTGATTTCTAAACAATGGCTGAGTATTCCTGTCCTGCTGCAGTCTCTGTTGAAGCAGGCAATCAGTAGCAGTGCAGTTTAAAGCTGTACAGCCCCAGCACTGTCAAAGCCTTCATCAATTCCCACGTCGTAATGTCTTTAAGAGCACAGTTGCTGAAAGTCCCAGGAGACTGGTATCCTGGGATGCTGGTGAAGCTGGAAGAATCTACGCCAAGCACAGATAGGACATTCCAAAACTGGAAAGGGATGATGCAGTGATTTGCAAAGCATTAGCAGCACTATCCTGCAATACAGGGATAGAAGCCAAGCATTCAGAAAACACAGATATATCCTATAATAACAAATACAGAGCTAAAATAAAAGGAGAAGGAGCAATATGGTTAGTATTTGATAATATATCTACCCTCTAGCCACTGCTGAAAGACATTCTAGCCTGCACTAGATTTAAGATGGATGAGAAGTTTGCTGTCAAACAGGCAAGGCTTAAAAGAGTAGAGGAACTGAAGGTTTGATCTTTAACACCAGATGGAAAAGAGAAAGATGAAAGAAAACTTAATCAGAGACTTTTCTTAAGCTCTACTGATTACTGGAAAGCCTTTTACATGGTCTGTAGTATGCAGAAGTGAGTGGTGAGCCTTGATATTAACCAGCTCACCTAACAGATTTTTTTTACTCCCAGAGTTTAACAACTTGGTCAATAGCTTGCTGGTGAGTTATTACATTTTCCATTGCAAAACTGACAAGGTATTTTTTTTCTTCATAACCCTCCCAAATGGCCCTAGTGAATGTTTTCTTTAAAATTCAAGTTTTATCCCCAGTGACACCACCAATGGAAGAAAGTTGAGGAAAGAAGCAGCAGTCTTCTCCCAGGATGTGGAAACTGCCCTGTGAGCAGGTGCCTTAGGTCAGTTATTTAAAGAATGAGGACTCAAGTGCTTTTGAGCAGATGTTCTCTGTAAAGATTTAGTGGTGTGGTCCATTCTGAAGAACTCCTACTTTCACTCTGGTTTCTTTGGGCCACACAGGACACTGTCCTGGTTTACTGGACTGGAGAGGAGAAGGCAGCTATAGGGTTTTGCTGGATCCTAAAATACCAAGCAGCCCTCAGGTATGGGCCAGTCATTTTCTAGATGTTCCCCCTGTCCCCTGGAGACGCCATGAGTATGTCAAGCACTTCAGCAAAAGCAGCCAGCACAGAAACTCAGTTCCCTGTGTGCTGGGGTCTCTGAGGTACCTTTTGAACTAGAATTATCCAGAAGACTGTTGGCAATGAGTGATTACACCCACCAAATCAGTAGCATACATCACAGTCTCTCTGAGATTTAAACTGATAACCCAACAGATCACCTCTCTAGCCAGCCATGACTTACAGCATCATATTGCTGCTATTCATCTTCACTGCTTCCTGCAAAGCAGAAGACAAGAAAGATATTATCAGTAGTTTGCATATGGGCAACGGATGTACAGAAGACTATGGGATTTGTTTCAAGGTCATGCTGTCTGTGGCTCAGATTTGAACCCCTTAAACACAAGACCTTTCTACCTCATTCTTATATATAATGTCTATGAATATATTTTTCCCTTATGGTTTAAGCTGTTCTGTTGGTTCCCAACTTTGAAGCAGTTTCCTGCTCTTCCATGGCATGAATTTTTAACTCATCCATTGAAAGCATATGGCCTTTCCTAGCAAGCAAGTGAATCTACAAGCTTGGAAAGGCATGTGAACCAGAGTTTGAATCTCAGCCAAACAATTTGTTCTGGCTTTAATCAGGATGTCTTCTTTTAACTTCAAATATCATTTTTTAAAATCCCATATCAAAACTTCTAGTGTCACACTATGAAATCAATAAATTCTACCAGTCATTCAACTCAGAAATACTTCAAAGCAGCCTGAGTGATAGCCATTATTTTATCTTTAAAAATATTCATCAAAGAGATGCAGTTAATACGAAAGCAAAACAAAATTAACAACAACAAAGAAATGTGTCAGTTACATTTTGAACTTGTGAAATCCCATGAATCCTGCTACTGGTTTTGTGTTCAAAGTTTCTTTTTCATTCCTATATTGACACCCTTTAATATTTCCCTTTTTTTCTTCTTCTCATCTAGTAACTTAGTTATGTAAATGCTAATTTTAATGTAGTCATTTGATTCATCAAATATTTGATATTACTTCACACCATAAAGAAAAGGTTACAGTTTAGGACCAGATTCTAGTATGTACAGTCCCGTGTGAGGAAGCTGTCCTGACTCAACAGTGCACTTTGATTGTGTGTTCAAGTCTCATCAGCTTCAGTGGCTCTACATTTAAAGCTAAGTATGTGATTATGGGCATTCCTGAGTAAAGGGTCATGGAGTTTTATCTTATTTCATAAATATTTCAACAGAAAACTAATGGAAGTGTTCATGAGTAAAGTTCCAATGTAAGGAAGACTTTTGAGATCTTGTTCTTTTATTATAGCAACCACTATCCAATTTTATTGTGTACTGTTAGGGTACTTAATATTTCTATAATAGAGATATTTGGACTGTAAAGCTTTTCACAAGTTATTTTTAAACACTCATTAACATGATTGCTAGAATCAGTAAAAAGAATTCATGGTATCTCTATTTCACAGTAGTTAGAACTGGGTTTTGTTAAATTCAGATCACTGCAGATTATTTTGTAATGGGAAGAGGCACACCTGTATACAGTTTGGGGTGAAGTCATCTCACCTAGCTTTAGACATCTACAACACCGGAACCTGATTCAGTGCCCAGGGGCTCTCTTCCGTCAGGAGGGCAGGATTAGTACTTTCAGTGTGTCAATCCTCTGGTTAGTTTTAGACACTGATTTTAGGAGGAGATGAATCATGTTGTAAAGAGCCTTTTCTTGCTATCGAATACAAAATTTTTAGGGCTGAGATTCACTCACACCTTTTTCTTTTATTTGAGATGCCCTACAGTACCACTGTGGCCACCAAGGGCATAACTTGGATGCCCCAGAGAGGTCTAAGATGCCATAGACGCTTCTTTTTAGGTGACTGAATTCCTGCCAGATGCCAACTCACATACAGGTGCTACCTCCAGGTCAGGTGGATCCTGTGTAGTGGGCCAGTGACAAAATTGAGATGTTCAGAGCCTGGGAAATTTAGGCTGAACAAAACAAAACCTGGGCACATGTTCTTCAGGAGAGATTCAGAGAAAACTATGGCAGTAGCTCTTACCTTTTAAATTTAAAAGCTTGACATCAGACCTCAGCAGCTGGAGAGTTTAAGCAAAGAATATCCAATAGCTTGATCGCCAGTTCAAGGTTAGAACTTCCTCTGCAAAGTGTGTTTATGTTACTAAGTTACTTAAGTTACTAAGTGTGTTACTAAGGTGGGTGAGGCACTGGTGTTCAGTTTTGCCCATAGGAAAGCAAAGAGAAAAGGCAATGAGATTAATTAGTCTGTTCTTTCTTCTTGTCTCCCCATGCAGGGCACTACCTCAACATGACCGTAACTTACCGTTCCATTATTGTCTCTGTTGTGCTGTTTTCTGGCTTCTCCACTGGCAGGGATTCAAAGCCTGAGAGCAGGGCCTCCGCTGGTGGGCTGTCAGAGACCGCCTTTTTCTACTACTTGTGTGTGCTGATGTGCCAGCAGCCAGCCAGCAGGTTGGTACAATTTGTGCAATTATCCAGATTTCCCTATTACACAATGGTGGTGTAAGCTGCTTTGTGGTTCTCCCTGCAACCCAGTGCCTGGCCAGGAGGAGCCCCAGGAGGCTCCTTGACCACTGCTTTTCATGCAGGTACTGGTTTGCAGAGTGCTAGGCTCTGCCCCAGCTTTCCCCCACCTTTGGCTCTCTGGTGCCAATCTATAGCACAATTTCAATTTCCACTTTTCCAAGATGCACTGATATCCCTCTCTGCATTCTTCTCCTCCAATAGGTTTACCTTGATGGGTTTGGAGACATGTAGGGGAGCCTATTGACACAGTTCCTACATCTTGGTCTGCAGATATCCCCTTTCACATTCTTCTGCTGGTTCTTCAATGAGTCTCTCAGGAGATGCACATTTGTAGAATAAAAAGGGTAACATGTAATTCATACACAAAGTAAATTCATTTGTTTGATGCAAAAAAAGGGAGACAGCTGAGGAAAAGTTAGTTTAAATGAGAAGTAATGAAAGCACATCTGAGTACACTCTGCTGGGAAAATTTTCAAATTGGAGTACAAACAGCTGTCTCAGCACCAAGGTTCCCTGCCTGGGACTTGATAACATTTTCTTCTCATGTTTAATAGTTGGTTAGTACTGCCATCACCAGCTGTCCACCCTCTTGTCCTGATGCAATCCCCAGTGATAGACCAGCCCTTGCTAAACTCAGGTCACCCAGAAGTGGGACCCAAATGTTTGTACAGTACTTGCATGGGAACCTGCTGAGAATGGATTACCACCAAGGAATGATGCCATCCATAAGAAAATGGGAGCTTGGGTGCAGAATTATTTATTTACTATTTATCTGTGGCTGTATCTGCAGCAAAGAGTGACTGTAGTATGTTCTGTCATGTTATAACTTTGCTCAAGAATGAGACATCCGGGGAACCTTAAGCCTCTGTGATGATTGTTAACGCCCTGTAAGAAAACAGAAAGTAATGTTCAAAACCTAGATACAAGCTGATTATAGTCTAGAGCCAGACACTGCTCAGGAACAAGACTTGGGTAGGGTTAGAGGTGGGAAGTGAGGGCTTCAGAGCTGAGTTTCCAGAGCAGCCCTGTTCATCCCATAAAGTCTGTTTGCAACTGGTGTCCCAGCATCTTCTCTGGCTAGAAAAGAGAAGTTCCTAGGAGGAATGCTTCAGCAGTGGCTAGTGAACTCCAGGAGACGCTGTCCCCTCCAGTCTGGCAAGCAGATTTACCTTCAGTTTCTCAACAAGTGTGTGCCCTTTGACTAAACTTTTTTCTAACCATGAATTCTAACTGCTTTGTAGTTTTAATTCATTGTTCAGTGCTGCTGTTTTGGGGAATTTATGAACTCTTTGATGCTCTATTCTCCTGATAGAAAGGATTTCAGAAGGGGACATTGTGTAATGGTATGCATGCTTGACACAGCAAGCAATAAATAGGATGTTTTTTGCTAGCTACATGATTTACGGTATGTTTCATCTTTCATTGTAATTATTTTAGCATCCCTCTCCTCCTTGTCCATTATACCGCAGAAGTATAGAAGATATCAGGTTGTCCACAGGGATTACACATGTTCCAACTGCTTTCCTCACCTGAGGCCAGGGTGCAGGGCACTGGGGGGTGCAGAAGCTGGAGGGAAGAAGGGAGAGGCTGAGCATGACATGGGAGATTGGGGATGCCTCAGTTTTGAGTAAGATGGAAAAGAACAGATGATCCACACATGCACCAGCTGATCAAGTGTTTTGGCCATGGTGAGGGCAGTATCTTCACCAGCAGGTAGAGCAGAGCAGACTCAGGGAGAGCATGATCCTGCATGCAGGAGTTTGTTGATGATGGAATATGAGCTCAGGAAGAGTGGCTTTCTGTGTGAAGGGTTGTCCTAGATGCAGTACTGAGAGTAAGACAGTGGTTTAATGTGAATGGGTGAAGTCTGGCCAGTTTTTAGGTGGGTTTTGGGCAGTTTGTATGTAAAAGTTAGCTGCAGCATGGGGGCTAGTTGTGTAGCTGGGTTGCTGTGGAGAGCTCACCGGAAGTGTGCTCCCGTAAGTGACCTCAAAACTCCAGGTCCAGCTGGCTGCTTCCAGCCAGGATGGAGGCATGACAGAACACCCAGGGATGGGTGCAGCCACCACGATGTGCCAGGTGCCATGGGCCAGGCAGGGCTAGGATGAGGCAGAAGCACAGGAGTGGCTTTGAGGAACAGGAGCCCCAGGCTGACTGTTGAGCAGGGCTCAGATGATGACACTGGTGTCAATGGTGATGCCAGGGGAGGGGGCCTGAGGGGATGGCACCTGCTTTGAACAAGGAATGCTGAGGTGACATAGAGCAAGGACAGCACTGCCATTATGGTCTGAGAGCAGGAGGGGCAGTGGCCGCCATACCTCAGGGCAGACGCAGTGCTGGAGGCTTAGGCTGGAAATGCTGAGGTAACTCAGGGTGAGAATGCACCAGGAGGGCTTCCATGGGGAACACTGAGGTATTTCAGGGTGGGAATGGCACCACGGGTGGTTCAAAGGGAAACACTGAGGTACTTTGTGGGGGAATGGCACTGGGGGTGGCTCATGGGGAAACAACTGAGGTACGCCAGGGGAAGAATGGTGGGGTACAAACCTTGAAGCACACCAGGTGCACCAGCTGTGTGTTTGGGCAGAAAATGCTGAGGTAAAGCATTTTGGTAGAGTGGGGGAGAGTGGCCTTCCATCATGCCTGTGGGCTTGGGCTGACTGTGCCTGGGGACAAGAACACCAAGGTTGCTAATCCTGCCCTAAATATTTCTCTCTTTCCCACAACACGTGATTGGTCAGGGAAGGAAATGGGCATGAAAATCCTACACCACATCACAGGTGCAGCTTACTGCTCTTGGTGTCAGAAACCTGAAAAATAGTTCCTATCTTGTCCTTAAGCAGCTTCTGCCAGAAAGAATGCACATTCCCCAGTAAAATGCCATATTAAGTCATGGGGTGTGCACTTTGTAACTTCCAAGCCCACCTCTGCATTATCTCACACCTGCATCACATTGCACGTGGGATTTTAGCTTTGAATCTGCGGTTGCCATGTTTGGCTTTGGTGAAGATCATGTGTGTTCATCAGCTATTACTGTAAGGTGGACTCTTAACAGAGAGCATGAAACTTCTGATACAGGGCCTGGTTGATGTTGAAATGTTACTGTGGAAGCCTTCACGCTGGCATTTGTTGATGCTGGAGTATTAGTGTGGGAAGAGTGGCTTACCTCAGGAAGGCTTGTCTGTGAGATGCAATCAAGAGAGCGAGTGCGCAGTTCAGTGTGAAATGATGAAATGTAGAAAATTTGTACATACATTGTGGTTTAGTTTGAAAAGATGAAATCTGGATAGTTTGAAGAGAGATTTTGGACAGCTGTTATTTGGACAGTTGGACAGTTGACTTTGCGTGGGTGGTGCAGTTGGATTGGTGTACAAAACTGATTCAAAACTGACTTTTTTCCAAGTGACCCCAAGACTCAGGATCCAGCTGGCTACTTGAGGCCTTTCACTCAGTCTAACTGAGCTGAGGAGGACCATGAATGGCTGAACAGCTACCAGAACCCAATGGAGCAAAGTACTACAAGCTTAACACCCAGAAAATCTAAAACCAAAAATATAAGGGCTAAGGAATTTTCTGGTTTTGAACAACTCTAACTCTAAATTTGGCCAAGCACCCATATACTCATGGAGGGCATGCCAGGAAGCACTGCTACTCTGTGAAAATATGCTGGTGAAGTGGGTCCTAAAGGGAGAGGGGTGTCTGTAGGGGTCTTCCCAGCCCTCTCTGGGATACCAGAATCCCTTAAGTAATACATATTTTTGGCAGGGTAGCTCTGTCCTGAACATACGGTTTGCTGGGGCTGGGGACACTCACAATTCCCATGGGTAGCACGAAACAACCCGAGGAGTAGGGCACATCCCAGTGCTTTAGTATCTATTAATTCTGATCCAATCTGCTACTGTGTACATTTAGGATGGCAGTTGTAGTGTGGAAGACGTGTCTCAGCCATAACTAAGTTACTGCTCATCAGCTAACATGTTTTCATGAACACTGTGTTGTTTTTCTTTTTGTACCTGCTAATGTGATACAGCAAAGGCTATTCGGTACTGTGCATGCAAAGCAAAATTAAGTCTGGCAGGCAGCCCAGGAAGCCCTGCCACGTGTCCCAGCTGCTCACAGCACTCAGAGTGCTCCATTTACCCAACTTTGCTGCTGCACGTTTTTTCTCCAGGCGCTCACAACAACAGAGATCTTGCGGTCAAGAGCTTCCTGATGATTTGGCATACAGGTGTAAACAGATAAAGTTCATTCAGAGGGTTTCTTGTAGAAATGGACCAAGTTTGCAGTTCCAGTTTCTTCCACCTTAATTTCAAAGACAAATGTGTCTGACTCCTCCCTTCACAGGTGAAGTCAGCAAATTGTCAGGGACATTACAGAGACTTATTTTGAGGAAAAGGGGGAAAAATGATTTTTTTTCTAATTCTGAGCACCATTACCCCTCACCTCTGAACCAAGAAAGACTTTACGTGGTGTCATAATTTAGTAAATTACTTCCTCAAAGGAAGGTCAAACATTTTACCATTCGATCAATAGGAAGCGACTTATAAATCATGTGTATTGATCATTGTAATCATTCAGAGGAATGTAGGGCAGACACTAAAATCACATGCACTTAGTCTTAATTGCCCACATTAAAGCAATTATGCCCCAAAATTGTCATTGTCTAATGCTGTGCACACTACCCAGCATGGTAACTTTTAGCTATACATATTTAAGCATATATCAGCCTCTTAGGTCTATTGCACTAAAGACCTACAATATTGCTGTAATTATGCAAATATAACTATGTCTTCTTTCATCAGTGTGTAAGATCATGTTGCTTTTGGGGGCCAAGTGGAGGAAAATAAGCCCCTATATTAATGCAGCTGGCATTTAATACATATATTTTACAGCTGTGCTATGTGTTCATGACACAAGCACTTAAAATGACCTGAAATTGCTAATGAACAGAGAGCCTTTGTAAAAGCAGTCACAGGTCAAGGACTTGCAGATAAAACTTGTTGAGAAGTATATTGATGGTAGGCTTGTGTCAGGAGAGTGCTATTTGTTCGAGGATGTTTACAAACATTATTTTCCAGAGGATCATTTCAGTTAAAAGTGTCTCAGACAAATACCAATTTGGTAGCATTAAAATAAGTGTTTTCTGATTTTGCAAACATCAGGTGGGTGCCTCTTTCCTTTTGTCAAGGAAACCAACATGTAAGTCTCAGGCAAGTTTTGTTTTGATTTGTTCCCACAGCCTCCATTGTGGGAACTGAAATACTGGTCAGGAGTATGTTCCTTCTACCATTCCAGAAACCATTTCTAAACAGATCTGGAAAATGAACCCTTCTTGGTATGCTATACACCTAGTATTTTGCAAACAAGAATGTTTAAAATTACAATTATCACCTACTGGGACAGACAAATTTGCCCTTCACAGAGGGTATGACCTGAAGTCCCATAAAGTGAAGGAGAGCTTTACTCCTGCCCTTCAGGGCTGAGACCTAGACAGTAAAATACATACAGTGGGCCATTGATCTGATGGTATCAGAGAAAGGTTCTGGCCAGATTCAGACAGTTCCCATACAGCTCTTCAGAAGCAGACATCTGCTAGTGCAGCCCAGAAGAGGACAGACCGTGGAAAGAAAAAAATTATACTAGACAAAAAGGAAAAAAAAAAAAAAAAACCAAACAAAAACCCAAAGAACAAAGAAATACAGAAAAGACTGAGTTTCAACACAAACAGGCAGCAAAAGGAAGGAGTTTTGCACTGCTTCATCTAGAGCTTGCTTTTAATTCTTGACTCCCCTCTGAAGGAGCATATAGCAGGCTGCACTTTGACTTTGCATGCAGAGGCACAAAGGGAAGGTGCAGAGAGGGAAGATGGGTTGCTGTCCTCCATGCTATCATTTCCTCCTTCTGTGAGCTTTATTGGAGCCTGAAATATCACATCATTTGAGTGGTAGTTCTGCAAAATGTTCTTGTTACACCTTCTCAGTCTTCAGCTCAGTGGGCTGCTGACATATAGGCCTGAGGGTACTTCTGTGAAGCCCCAAAAGGTAACAAGAGAAGCTGCTGGCAGAGGGCTCCAGCTGAAGCATGTGCACATTCGCTGGGAGATGTGCAAGTTGCAGATCCCTCAACAAGTTTCAGAGCTGCATGAACAGGGAAGCTAAGAGCTAAATTGACTCAATCATGGGAAGATCTCTGACTCCAAATTTCAGGCAAATTTATTTTAACAAGTTTTTGAGAATGCAAACAATGTTTCTGATCTTCTGGGGGTCTTAACCTGTTCAAACCAGCAATGGGTAGAGCATAAGACAGCTGGTCATTCACATGTGTGTGCAGGTAGACACTGAATCACTAGTAATTGAGAGCTTTTAAAAGGGGGAAAGTACATTATTCCTCTCAGAAGCC